AAATCGTATGAGTAATCCTTTAGTTTAAATTCCATGATTTCCATTTGGTTTGTCGTTCGATAATAATACATAAAGTCTATGCAATTGATGCATATTTTGTTTATTACGCTTTTCATTTGTTTATAACAGCCTCGAAAACTTGAACCCGACGAAACACTTGCTAAAAACTATATCAATTAAATGTGTAAACTAACCAAAAATAACTTTAAACTAATACTAACCAAATTAAAAACGAAATTAACTCCGAACTCAAACAATTTGAGGCCTACAAACTCTAAGCACCACAATTTTGAACAGCTCTGTATGGTGTTTATTTCTGTTTTTGTTTTGTTTCACTTTCATGGCCAGAATTTTTGTACATACAATTTACAATTGTTTTTTAGGATTCACCCATTCAAGAACTCACCCTAAGCTATGCATAATTATTGTTCTACCTACACAAAGCAAACATGTTAAATGGCATACTTTATCGTACGAAACCAAAATCACAGCGTTCTCAGTAATAACAACAGCCACGCCCACACTAAAACTATCTCTCTTTCTCACTTGTCTTCCTCTATTTCTCTTTATTCTCTGTCTTTCTTTAATATACTTTCTCGATGTGATTTTCCACTTAAACCAACTGAAAACTAACAAACTTTACTTAACATTTGAAACTCCCTAAAATAATCTCAAACAAATACCTGAAACAATCCGTGACAATTACACAGGTGACGCAAACTCCACGCATTTGCCCACATTTCTACAGACATTTGTTTTAGCAATTATGGCATTAGTCTTGAATACGTACAACTAAAACGTAAAACTAAATCTAAGTAAAACGAACTAAAATCAAAAAATTTCAAATTGGATGGAAAAGTGATGAAAACTATTGCAATAACTTAATAAAAAAAAAAAAACAAAAACAATTTGTAATAATTTTTGCAAGCATAAATTACACGCCAAGTAAATGCTAATGTATAAGATTAAAAAAAAATGCATAATACTTTTGGTCACATATAACACGTGAGTCCTGCATAAACTTGTCTCAAATCGCTGCACACGCCCACAACGCCCCCACACCCACAATCACGACATGCACAGTACCCACCCACCAAAAAAAGAGACCCACACACTCCACCACAACTCTCAAACTGAAAACTTGCCACAAATGCCACGTTTGAGTAATGCATCGTTTTAGAAAGATATTGCATTAATTAGTATCAAATATAAATACCCTCTACAAATTTGTTCTCTTTGGTTGCATATTTCAGTTTTCAGTAGCACTCCGGAAATAGTTTCAAAGCATGCTGATGAAGTATTTCTTTATAACTCTGGCTTTTTTATGTTCTGATCTTAACTGTCTTTCCCCAATACCCAAAAATTAGTATACCAAATGATAAACTGAGCTGCATTCTCAACTGTTATCCCAATAAAAACCATCTGCTAATAATATCTATTAAACCAAATACTTCAATGCCAACACATCCACTGAGTACATAATCTGTCAACTACTTAGCTAGATAATCATTTATACATTATCTTAGCATCATTTACATTTATCATAATCAAAGAGTTTGGAAGCCTATGTGTATAGTATTTTTGCAGCTAACTGTATTAACAAATGCTATTTATTTGTTTTGTACTTTGGTTTATTTACGTATCGATTCCTGAATTAGGTATCACGGAAGCGGCCGAGGAGGATCACGACGTCCTAATTATAATAACACTAGTCGTCGTCTCGTCCCTAATCTGTCTCCTATGCACACTCTGTCACTCCAGAAGAAAACGTAGAAATCATGCGCGTCAATTGGGTTTACATCGGAATGCACACTATGACTCGCAGACGAGCGCAACGGGTAAGGGAAGAGGCGTCAAAGGATCGCAAGATGTTTTGTCTTGAGTTTATGTTTCCATTATGATTTTAGGTTTCCTTTGATTTCGTTTTGTCTTTTATAATTTCGAGGTAATCATAAGAAACGCTTTGAAATAGATCGATTTTTAATACTATGACCATCTTAATATTTGGTAGCTGGTCTTAGCTCCAGTCGACGTCATTTGCAGAGTGGAGGGGCGAGCATTGCGGGCAGTTTACACGGCATTAACAGCGGCACCTTGATCATTCCACCCGCGCCCCTGCCACCCACCAGCGTGCCACCGCCACCGCATATATGTATAGCCGGGATTGACATGTCACACGGCCTGATGTCCAACGACGAGGACGATGATGACGACGACGATTTGGAGCTGGACGAGGATCAGCTGGCGGCGGATATATTCATAAACGATGTGCATTTCGACGAGGATAATATCGATCATGTAAACCAAATGGCAAACGTTTAACTATGTTTATAAGCATTTTTATCGATAGTTTCAGCTATAGAGCGCTTTAGATTAGGACGTGCCCAGTCAAGGGGTACGTACATAGATAAGTGAGTACGAACTTCGGGTGAAGTTGGAGTTGAATGTCTATATACATACTGACTGCGACAGATAGCAGAAAGAACTTGAACAACAAGAACAAAAATTTAAAAGTTAACAATACCTAAAAGACAAAAAATTATGCAAAAGTGCGAATTGATTAAGACATAAATTTAATAAGCTATAAAGAGGGCGCAAATAAACGTAAAAAGTACAGTAGGGCGTAAACATTGTAGTAGCGATAAACGATAAACGATTAACGATTAACGATGAACAAAGAAGACAGACAACAAATAATAATTACATTTAAATATACATACATACTATATTATACACATAGCGACTATGGGGGGACAGAGAATTGCGAAACGCACATTGATGGTTCAGGAATGGAAAACCCAAGCGGCGAATATGTAAAGCATTTTCTTAGCCACAAGAGACCGCAAAAAAGTTGTTGATTTTTATATTTGATACGAGTAATATTTAGGTGAAGCATAAATTGAATTAATTATACAACAAAACAAAAAAAAAAAAAAAAAAAAAAAGAAAGAAACCCACAAACACACAACACAGAAACATGAATAAATAAATTTGAACGCAGGCAAAATAAAAACATTCAACTTATTAAAGGGCATAAAACAATAAAGTAAATACCTAAAGTATATATCTATACAGGCGCGAATAACTTTTATTTACACATTTTTTTACAATATGCAAAACACACACAAAATTATACATTTCTCGCCACAAGACCGATTAAGCTCAAGTTTAACAAGTTTATAAATTGAAGTTTTTAACAAGTATAATAAAAAAAATAAAAAAATACATAAGACATACATACAAGAAGATTGCATAAATAAAAGAATTAGTGACTATCAAACCTGTATCTTCCAGCAAAAGTTAAACGTAAAATCCTTTAATTGAGGGATTTGTATAAATAAATGAACTTATTAATACAAACAAATTAAAAAGCGTCACTCGTGTCGTGCGCTTCAAATTCCAAAGTCGATAAATTCAAAGATTTTTGTCTATTTAAGCACATTTTTATAGACATTTAAATGGAATGTTGCAGCGACATTAACAAAAGATTAAAACAAAACAATTTATAAAAATGTACACGCTAAACAGAACGATAATAAACACTTTTACAGTAAATTAAAATCCAAAAGTTAACTCTAATAAGAAACACTGAATAGAAAATGCAACTATTTCTGCCAATCGTTGAGTAAAAATAATAATTATTTTTTCTTTAGTTCCGATATAGTTTATGCTATACTTTTCTTCGATGGAAAACGAATATTAAGGGTAAACATTTTAGTTTATATGATTTTAAAATGAGGGTTTTTAAATGATAAAACATAAATGAAAATTCGAGGAAATAAAAAAAAATTATTGGTTTCATAGCGCTCGTACATTTTGCATAAAGAACTTTTTAAAAAAAGAAAAGGCTTAAATAAATGAGAAAAAATTAAACAGTTCAACGTAAAAATCACTAAAAGTAAAAATATGTAGGTGTTTAATAAAAACATAAATAAATAAATCCAATACATTAAAGAAATAAAACGTTGTTAAATTGTTGCAAAATGCATAAAGATCAACTATTTCATAAGAAATATTAAATTATTTTTAAATAATTGCAAAATAACAATGAAAAAATGAATAAATATTTAGTTTAAGTGTATACATTTTGTTGTTGTATGACATTAAAATGAGCCCCAATTAAATTAGTTAATTAAAAAATTGAATTTGTGTTCTAGCAATTAAAACAAAGAAAAATTAAAAAAAAAAACTATTTACTAAACATATAAAAATTTAATAAAAATGTTCGAGAAACACACGACAAAATCCCCGTGAAAAGTTCTAAGCGTTTACTAAAAAAACACACAACGTTAAATTAAACAAGCAAGTGTTAAATTTACATTTAAATCTATATTTAAGCAAGGCAAACCAATGAACGATAAGTTATACTAAACAAATATGTAAAGCCTAAACCAAAATGAAAAAAATCTTAACCCAAGCGTATGCATTGGCATAGATCGCAGCGCTTTAGCAAAAGATAGTTGATTAAAACGCAAACTTTTAAAATTGAACAAAAACACCTACAAAAACAATTCCATGTTAACATTAAATATAAATAAAGGTAATTAAATAAATGAATACTAAACCAAATCCAACTGTCATTATTATTCAATTTATAGTATATCCTGACTGACTGACTGACTGAGTGATTGACTGACTGACTGACTGACTGATTGGTGATCAACGCACAGCCCAGCTGAAATTTTCACTGTCGTTACCTTATGTGATGTAGGTGCACACTAAGACGGGGTTTCGGGAAATTTCACCCGCAAGTGTGGAAAAATCGCGAGAAACGTTTTAACGAAACGTTTTTGTTTACCATCCTTTAAACTTTATATGTGCCACGGGCAAGGCCGGATTATACCCGCTAGCACATTATATGAAATGTCTATTTTAAATATCATCACTGGAAATCGCTTTTAATGAGGGATGTTACTTTAAGTGCTTTCTTCAAAATCTTGAAACTTTAAAGATGACATGATAAAAAATCATATGTGAAAATTTATAAAAAATTTTGAGAATATTTTATTTTTGCAATTAAATACAGCTTAAAATGCCACATTACTTCAAAGTGGACCGCACCAAGAGAGAGTGGTTTGCAGAAAAATGCATAATTAAATGTTTCAGTTTTTAGTTTGCGAATTCAAACGAAATTTTGACAACATTTTGTTGATGGCCTCCGCATCGCCGTCGACCGAAGCCTTGTCCTGTTCCAATATTTGCTCAAAACTCTTTTGCTTAGTACCGACCAAATAAAAGTCCTCATCGGCTATTGTGACCCGTCCGTCGGCATCAGGTGCTTTGCCCTCATAAATGTCCAGAGCTTTGAAATCAAAAACTACAGTGAGATGGTCAGACAGACTACTGTGAGAGGCCATAAGACTGCAATGGCAGTAACTCACCCATGCTCTTAATTAGTTTGCCATCGGTATCCGTAAAATTAAACTGAAATGTGTTGACCACAGTACGCTTTTCGGGATCCGACTCCTTGAGCTTATTGCGAATTTTCTCAATAATTTCGTCGCTTTTCATGCTTATGGAATGTGGCTGAACGAGGCACAAGTGGAGCGTTTCAGTGCAGCTGCTTGACTAAATCAACCGCAGACGCCAATTGAAACGAAGACTGCGGATTACCGCAGGCGTTCTCGTTGTGGCTTTGCATAATTCTTAATTAAAGTCAATTTGTTTGATAGAGACATGATTGACAATATTGATACAGGGCATGAGAAAATCCAAATCGTCTACTCAAACACTTGGATAGTATTAAAGGGCAGTTCAATTAGATATATATATTTTGATAGGTAAACTCTATTGCTACTAAATAAAACTTAGTATATGACGAGTGGATGAACGCTTATGTAAATTAGGGCTTCCATAACTTTAGCAGGCCGTCTTCACTATAACTGGCCAGAAGATTCTGATGTGGATGATGTGTTAGGCCAATGACGTCTTTTTCGTGTACCTGAAAACAGAGCAAATGCTTGAGACTGATTACAGATAAACTCACGACAATACTTACATTTAAGGTACGCTCCAGCTTGCCCGAGGAGACCGAGAAACAATATAGCACTTGATCTTCGCCAGCGCAGTAAATGAATTCGCCTCGGGGCGAAAGGGTTGCTGAGATAAAGGCACCGCCCTCGCGCTTACCCGATGAGAATGAACGTACAATTTGCCCCTGCATGTTCATAATGACAACCGTGTTAGATCTATTGCAGACTATGAAGTGTTCCGGATTCTTGGGCAATATAAGCACAGTGTTGACGGCCAGCTCATTGCCTAATGGTTTATACGTAGCTACGCATTCAGTGGTCTTAAGTGACCAGACCTTGACGGTGCCGTCAGAGGATGCACTTAGGACACTGTGGCCATCAGGTGTAAACGTTGTCTCGTTGACAAATGAGGTGTGACCCTTAAACTCCTTAAGCATTTTACCCGACTTCAGACCATGCAGCCGCACAGTGTAGTCAAAGGAGGCACTGAGTACTTGGCTGTTATCGCGGGAGAACTGCAGACAGGTGATGCCTTTGGTGTGCGCTTTTTCGAACTTACGCAGACATTGCCCGGTGATGATGCGCCATACCTTTATCTGGCCATCCTGAGCGCCAGACGCAACCATCTCAGAGTCACGCGAAAAGGTTAATGCCAGCACGGCTTGCTCCATCATCATGAACTGGTCCTGCGCCTGGTATTTCAAATCTTTACGTACTTTGCCCGTGGTAAAATTCCAAACTTCTAAAAAGCCATCCACACTGCCTGTTATCAGATACTGTCCATCTGGTGAGAACTGTGCGCACTCTACATGTGACTTTTCGCCGAATTTGATTTGACGGAACAGCTGCGTTGGATACATTTCCTCCTCTTGGTCTTTCATGGCTGCTTTGCCGCGGAACAAATCGATGGTGGTGCCGGGCGGAAGAAGACCTTGGTGTTGTTGCCATTTAAGAGCCTGGCCAAGCAACGCCAACAGCCTTGACGAGGGCACCACGTGCACCTCTCCACTCAACTCCTGGGCAATGGCCGTGCGCCGTTTCTCCTTGCTGCTGCCCTCCGCATAGGCCTCACGGGGATCGAAGTACGCACGCTGCAACATGTTCTCTGAGGGATAAACCGCGTAAATAGGGTTTCTTTAGAGAAGGTTAGATACCCACCTAGATGTATGTACCGCTCGGGCTCGTGCTGTTTCAACATGCTCATCGGGTCCGTTTGACGGAGTAGAGAACGGGCGGCACCCAATTCCCGCAGCTCTATTAATTCCAAGACAATTTGCTCATACAGATTGAGAAGCTTTTTGTCGGGCAGCTTTAACGATTGAGTTACTTTGAGTACTGTGTCCCAGTGTCCATTCGATATGTCCTGCACAAAGCCGTCGACGCTGTCCACTGTGTTAAGCGAGACGCCAGTTTCCTCCTGGAAGGCAGCAAATTATTATTTATGTTTAATTTGGGAGCTTCAATCTTACTTGTAAGGTTTGTAGCGTTTTAAGCAGATTTGATTCCTTCAGATATTGTTGGATTAGACGAATAACGCTGAAAGAGGTGTGTTCAACAATCAGATTATATAATGCGGGATTATTTATACTTACTCTGCTGATTCTATTTCGATTGACATGATTAATATTTAATCGCTATAATGTGGTTTTATATTTTCTAGATTCTTAATAAAAAACGCGTCTTTTTTGCATCAAATCGTTTGGAACAAGTTCATCTGAGCCAGTTGTTCTTCATATCTTTCCTTTGGTTCATTTGTCTGTCCGCATTTATTACAGTTTGTTTACCTGTTATTAACAGCAGCTGCTACAATTTTCGAAAGAATATAAAGACAGAGAGACTGTTTTATGTAAACAAAATGAAGTTGATGTCTTCGTTAAATAATACTTTCGAAAAGGCTTGAGTTGATATATAAGAAATTCGATTATAATAGAATGTTAAAAGATTTTAAAATTGCTCTATAACATTTGATAAAAATGTTATTTACTTATTCTAATATCGATATATTGCATTGGCATCCGATAACTCATCAGTAAGCCGCCAACAGCTGTTTTTTCTTCCTCCTCCTAATCGCATTGGATCTCTTTGCATAACAACCAAACGCTAAAATTGAGACCGAACTAAATCAATTAAAATGTCAAAAGCGGCGGGTAAATTAAAATCGCTGAAGAAGACAGTGGAGCGAGTGACGCATACGACGAAACTAAGAACAAATATACCTGCCGGCATGGCAGCAGCGGGCCCACCGCTGGGTCCCATGTTAGGCCAGGTGGGTTAAAAATTGCTATTTCGCTATGCTTAACATGTGAATAAAAAAAGTATTTTGACAGCGTGCCATTAATATAGCCGCCTTTTGTAAAGACTTTAATGCAAAAACAGCGGAAATGAAGGAGGGCGTACCCCTGCCATGCCGGATCTCAATGAACAGCGATCGCAGCTACGACTTGGTCATACATCATCCACCTGCAACATTTTTTCTTAAGCAAGCAGCGGGCATCCAGCGGGGAACAATGACACCTGGTCATGAGGTGGCCGGCATGATTACCCTAAAGCATTTGTATGAAATTGCGGCAATCAAGATACAAGATCCGCCTAATGCGCTGCTTACCATGCAGGTAAGTTAAAGCTACATATTTAAATCCTTTTTACAAATTTTTACTTCATTAGCAAATGTGTGAAATGCTCATAAGCATTGCACGGACATGCGGCATTAAAGTGGTGCGTGATCTGGATCCCACGGAATATGCCCAATTTCTGGAGGAGCGCAAAGTTATTGTCGAGGACCAGCGACGCGAGCTGCAGGAAAAACGCGAGGCTAAGATGTTGCGAACGGGCTAAATATACTATATGAAAAACATTTTTAAATTGTTAATAATATACATTTATAACTAAGAAATCTATTCTATGCTGATTCTCTTGCGATCCTTTGCGGCGTTCTTTTTGCGTCGTTTTTCCAGATGTTTGTTCAGTTTTCCACTATCTTTCAAATGCTCGAATTGAGCGACCAATTCTCTGGCACGCCTTTCCTCTGCAATGTAAATATTAAACACCTGGGGTCAATTCTAATGTGTCCTTAACTTACTCTTGGTCAAATAGTGCGGCTGGCGACCCTCTTCGTACGCTTTTTGTATCTCTTGGCGCTCCCTCTTTAACAAGTTTTGCTTGATATGCCACCTTTTGTCCTCCACGTTTTTATTAACGAGCCTTTGCATAGTGTGTTTGATTTTTTGTTTTTCGTCGTCATCCCGCACATTGTCCAGCTGTTTCTGCAGCTGGACTACTTCTTTGTCTCGTATTTTCGTGATGAATTTGTAGTTTTGCTTGAATGTATCAATGTTATAGGTGCCCGAGCTTTCATCGAAACGTGGATCTCGGAGCACGTCCTCTTTTTTACGCTCCACACGCAGCTCCGCGCCCAAAAAGGGCACCTGTCGCTTAGCACTTATTTCCCTAGGTCGATTCTTGTTCAAGCGTTTCAGCTCTAATTTTGTTTTAGGCTGTTTTTCTTTGACTCTTTTGTTGCCTAGCACCGCCTCCTTGTAGACCTTTGCGCCCAGTTCTTCCTTGAGCTGCATTATCTCTTCAAGGGTCATGCTCTTTAGATCCTCGCGAATCACACCCTGCGGATGGGCGAAAATTGAATTAAGTGAGTTTGGCATATTCCACCAATAAATTTACCCGTGTCTCGTCCTCGCTACTCGCCTCGTGGTCTGACGCTGCCGAGGACTCGCTTGAAGATGCCATTATCAACTGCCAATACAGGTAAAATTACAATTTTAAATCAAATTCACGTGTTTTGTTGTTGTTACGCTTATAGAGACGAGTCGTGCGCTATATCGATAAGTGATAACTAAACAACACTATCGATAAATTGATGCTTAACATGTGGCAATGCTTTTCTCTTGCTAACACGCTAGTTTAGCGATGTGGCAACGCAACGCATGTCAAATCTTCCAATTGGATTGAATGGCGCCATACTACAACTTTTGAAAGTAATTAATGAGTAGATTTATGAAAGGTGTTAAGATCAATGAAGTCAAAATGAACTGTCAACAGTTGGTCGCATGCCGTTCTCTCATTAAATGCTTCATTTACTTCACGTGCACAAAAACATTGACCTAACTCTCGTCATATAAACGTAAACATCAGTAAAATCCTGGGGGGTAGTTTTAATGGAAACCATAAGTTGGCTATCTAGCTACACATGCCCACAGTTTAGATGGCCAAGGCTTGGGGCTCTTACTCTCGCGGCTTGTTTACATTGCATTTGTCAGCCAGTCTAATGTGGGCTGGGTCAGTCGTCGACCCGCTGAAAGACAGCTAAGACTAAAGCATTTAACGGCCATGTGACTTTTGGCCATCCTATCAGGAGTATGTTGTACGTGGCACGCTTGCGTTTAAATTCATTTCGAAAGTCATTCACAGGGCCGAACCTTAAGCAAGAGGGGGCCCAAATGGGATCACAGCTAGCAATTGCAAATATGTATTATAAGAAGATTTCAATTGTTATCGCAGCCGAATCAATGTTTTAAATTAAATGCCAAATATAAAATACCTAGGAGATCAGGCATTTTTAATTCAGAAATAAATAATTGCCTAAATGCATAACCCCAATAATATGCATCGAATAAATAAATATTATGTATTGGCAATTTAACTGACATTATGTTTGAGCACATTGCTTGGCTCCCATGTCAAAGTATTCGGTTTCAGCGGGCGACCACGGAGTCGAGCAACGTCCATTCACCAATTACTCGCGTTTATGTATCGCGCCATTTGCTGCGTTGTCCTTAATTTCTTAAAAAGCGTTTAAACATCTAATGAAAGCATTTGGCTTGCGATTTTTACTGTTCGTCAATTTAGTTGCGTTTGGAGCCTCGCTGCGTGCGGTTCGTTTGAAAGTTGAGCGGCTCTCTTGGCCTTGTTAGTAGCTGCGACTAACGGTTGCATAGTTGACAGTCGCTGGTGGAAGGACTATATCGATGATGTGATCATGGCCAAAATAATATCAACGATTAAGGCCATTCTAACGCGCATTATATTCAGCGCCCACAGCCTGCTGGCCATTTGGCAGGTGACCACGTTCAAGAAGGATATCATCTATTGGACGCTATGTGGGCCACTGCTGCTGCTGCTGCTCGAGGGCATCTTTACCATCATGATCAAGAAGACGCAGGAATGGCGCTGGTAAGTAAGCAAATCCTGTCAGCTATGCATATTCGGGCCATCACGTATATGTGGTATTGCTTGAGGCAATGTAAACAATAATCGGCTGGGGTTGACGTCATGTTCGGGGCTTTGATTTTCAATTAAAAGTGAAATCATGTGTTTAATGTGTGTGCCCGTGGCAAGCAACCACCCTCGCGAGCAGCTCATAGTGAGTGACCACGAAGACCACTCCTCCAGGCCACAACCCACGCGCCGTCGTAGTAAAAAACTTTAATGGAATTTCACGAAGGTGGGCGGTCATTGCCAAACGCACCAGGTCCTTAGTTAGTGTCTTTCGCTAGTTGTTTACCTTTTGGCGCGGGGCGCATCACTTTGACTGTTGCTGTTTCTGTTTGTTTTGGACATTTGCCTTTGCACCATTTCTCCTGATGCCCTTCTGTGCTATCTTCATTCAGGTTCTGCCCCTCGGTTTTTCTGTATCTGAGCAGCATTGTGCCGGCCATTTGGCTACTCGAACTGGATAAGATTGAGCGGCGCCTGTTGCTGATGAATGCCTCGCTAGCCAATGCAAATGCCAGCATTGCCGTCAATGACAGCAGCCTCGCCGGCACCACCACCACCACCAGCACCAGCACCACCCATACCACCACCACCACAAACAGCAGCGCTATAGCGCCAGTGGCTGATCTGCTTGATGATGCTGGGATCACTTTGCCCGTCATCAGCCCCGACACTTGGACGACGCTCATTGAACAGTTTCTCATGCTAATCCTGATTGTGGGCCGCTGGCTGCTGCCCAAGGGAGACCTGACACGCGACCAGCTCAGCCAGCTGCTGTTGGTCTACATTGGCACGGCGGCAGATATCATTGAGTTTTTTGACTCCTACAAAGATGATTCCATAGCACGCATTGGATTTCTGGTCTTCCTCACATTGGGCATTTGGTCCTGGAGTCTCATGCAGTTTACCATTGTGCTGTCGGCCACAAGAGGCAGGCGACCACGAGGCAGTGGCTCCCATCACAAGGAGGAGTAAGTCGAATATATATCCTATCCTATCCTCTACCGAACAGATACTAAAATTCCATCTGTTGCAGCCAGACGGATTGCTGCCAGAACTGTTGCTGTGGCATCGATGTGTGGGGTACAGTATAAATATATATAATTATATAATATTTAGATATACATGCATATGCATTAACTTATTCCACAGGCATAGTGCTGAACGTCATTCTGCAGGATGCGCCGTTTCTCACATTTCGTCTATTGATTATATTTCAATACAAGATAATCAACTACATGAACGTGTTTTTCACATGTGAGCTATCAGAGATAAATTAATTGGCAACGATTGGTTACAACTGACATGTTTCAGGCAAGAACTCCTTGGTCATTATACTCCAATTATACCGCCTGTATGTGGTCAATGCGGAGTTCTGGAAGAATCGACGCGAGAGTCGCATGGCCAAGGCGCGTCAGTATCAGTCGCGTCGGCGAGTTCACGACGCGGACCAGAACAGCATCTATATGATATCCAATGAGCGTGGCGGGGAGGTCAAAAAGAAGATTAAGAAGTGAGTGCTCAAATATAGGGGAAATCCCTTCTTGAACCGTGTTCGCTTTCCTTTTCCTCAAACCAGAGCCAAGGATAGAGACTGCGTTGAACCAGAAGCCAGCTACAGCAAAAAGAAGCGCGACAAAAAGGGCAAGTGAGTAAAAATATCTTAGCTCACCTTAAATCACCTGATGTATACTGCATTTTACTCAGAAAAAAGCGTAAGCGAAAGGATACGGGCTACTCCACTGCCAGCTCACAGAATCTGTACTCCACCAAGGCTAGTAGCAAGGACAAAAAGGGCAAGAAGTCAAAGCGCATCTGCAGCAGCTCGCCCAGCGACTGCGATCCCATGAATATTAAAAAACAGAAACGAGCCAAAAATGCTGAAAAGGCTGACAAAAAGTAGGTGACAGGCAGCACTTTTCAAATACTTTTTCATTTCATATATTATTTTTAGAAAATCCAGAAAAATTGAGGCTGTTATTGAGGAGTCAAGCAGCTCCACCAGCAGCAGCTCGGACTCCAGCAACTCCACATTGCCCAGCTATGAGGTTATAGATGAGAAGAAGTCGCGACGCCGCAAGCATGGGCACAGCAGCGACTCCAGCTCCAGCTCCAGCAGCTCGGACTCGTCCTCATCATCGTCGTGAGTTGGGTCAGGCAACGTTTGGACTAACGGGATTTTAACGCTCAATCCGTTAAAAGCAACGTTGGGGAAACAATCTTTTTGATGACAGCCAAAGGCACATTTGGCTGCGACACTGGTCGAATTAGAGCCATGTGTCGCGTTTTTTGGTAGATAACCCATTGCGAGGTTAAATAATTTGTCAAAAACATATATTTTCATATGTTTGCATATATTTGCTAAAAGAAAAAACCGTAAACAAAAACAAAAATACTCAAATTTAAGCTAATAAAATAGCGTCTTAATTTTCAGACAAGTTGGCAGCATCGAATTGTCCGCTCTCTTAGCTTTTTATTATGTTCGCTCTTTTCAGCTGCGCATCAAAAAGCTGCCGCAGACACAGCTGCTGACTTCTCTCTAGCGTAAAACTTTTGTTGACACTCACACTACGCAAACATGTGTGAACTTGTGCTTGTGTGTGTGTAACAACGTGTATCTGTGCAGCAGAGATTCGTATGTGCCTTTTGTAATAACAAATAGTTGCCGTTGAGCGTTCGAGCGCTGTGGACACGCTGTTGTCGTCGGTTACGCTGCGGAAAAAGCTTTCGCTGCTCGCCAAGTTTAAGTCTAGTGTGAGTGTGCCCTATAGTTGTACCCACTGCGTAGTATACATAAACATATGTACATACATATACACTTATTCTAGTGTATGTAAGTTTTATAAAGTGTGCTGGCAAAAAATCTTATTAATGTCTTACGAGAGCTCTCTGTCTCGTTTCCTCCCACACAAAACACAATAATAAAGAAAATGTACACATTAACAACATCAACGTCGCGTGCTTTTTGCTGCTTGTTGCTATCCGGCTCCAACAACAAAGATAAATAAACAAACAAATATGATTACATTTGTTGTACTCAATAGTTGAAAAATCAGGAGCTGATTAAATTTCAATGATATAAAAACAGGTGCACAAACTAAATTGAACGCTGCAAAAATCAAAACAACTTCACTTTGGAAGTAGTGTTATGTGTATGTGTATGTATGTATATGAATTCATGAACAGCTGAAAATTGATTGGGTGAACGGCGCTTGAACCGTAATCAAGCACAATTTATTATGCGTGCATGTATGTACATATGTATGGGTGTATTTACAATGCACTGCAAGTAAACTGAGCAGCCTGCATGCACGCAATCAGGCACAAAAGAGCTGTTGGTTGTTCTACTCAGCTGCCCCGCACTGTGGCAGAAAATAGTCGCATTGACTTATCCAGCTGCTCGGGAGGCAAACAAAGCCCCTTGTATATGTATATATATTTACATACAGTTGGTCTTACACCAATGATTATTTCATTTCTTTTGCTTCTGCTTGGAGCTTTGGTTACGCTCAACACGTTTGCTGAAGGTTATGGCGCATTCCTCCAGCCTACCTCAACTCCACCTACGCCCGCTGCTCTCGCGTGCCGGCCCTGCCCT